TTTAAATAAATCTTAACGTCTAGGCAGGGGATGGGGGGCATGAATCCATGACAGGTTCTCTCCGTCCTTCTTGTGAGAATTCCGAACCCCCAGTGCAGCAGTTACGCAAGTTAATGGAAGGTGACGTGAGCGATGTTGGAGCCTCGCAGAAGCTGACGATGTTATTAAACTATAGTGGCAACGTTAAACCAAAGAAACTCTACTATTTGACTTTGTCAACAGAACACCTACACAGATTTCAAGGATTTCAAAACAAATGCCTATAAACTACATCAAAACTTTTTTTATAAGAATACGTGTGATTTGCAATATACGAAACAATTTTCATATTACTTGATTACTTTAACAAATTAACTAATTATCCGAATATCTGGATATCTTTCAGCCGTCAAGCTTTGTTGTTTACATCAAGCGCATATTTCGGTGACACGTTTTATTTATTTTTTGTTTATTTAACAACTCTGTGAAAAGATCAGAACATGCAGTGTCATACGACGGGATTGATGAATGGCGAAATGGATTTGTAAGGAAGTGTCTGCTGCTTAATTTAAGGTGATATATCGGCATTTTCCTCGAAGTATTCAGAAAAATAAACACGAAAAGTCAGGCAGGTCAGCCAGTCTTCGGGCTAAAGTCTAAATTTTAGGTCTATCTACATTATTTTAATATAACCATAACAATCATTTGCTTGCTATTAACGAGATATCTCGAAGGCAGCGACTGCGCGGAATAGCTTTGTGGTTTAACAATTAGAACAGCACTTTCACGTTTCATTTGTCAATACAAATTTTTTTTACGTGTTCTTAATAGAAATCGTATTTAAGTTTCCATGGGCACCATAAACAAAGAGAATAAGAGGTTTTCTCGGTTGTGACACTATGCAGTCTTGTAGGTTGTTACGAACGTTTCGGTCCAAAGTGTCGCCACCATCTTCAGAGTGGAAGACTACTCGGTGTTATAACGCAAAGTCACAACCCACATTTTCGATGATGTGAAAACCTTAAATCTCAGAAGAAGGTATTTTTGCTTCTAAAAGTTTCGTGTTGCCATTGTAACAGCAAAGTAAGAAGTCCCTTAACTAGCCTCTGAAAGCTACCTATTTCTTCGTCGTAAACACCAGCACAAGCGATGTGATGTAAGCCCTTTCTTCCCGCAGCAGATGAACCCGGTATTGTACTGTAGATCCCATCATCAGCAATCTCTGGGTCCACTGCGACCCCTGTAACTCCGTGCGATTAGCGTTGTAATCCCCAGTAGCCTCCTGCACACGATCACAATTCTTTCACATATCTGTATTATGCAAATTCCCTGAGGGGTGAATTGTATACATTACAATTCAGCGATGCCATTTTACACCTTAAAACAAAATCTGCCTTGCAAGATGAAAATTCTTTTGATAATAAAAAACTGTGTCAATTTTGCATGCTGTAAGTTATTTTAGCGTGCTTTATCAACTACTGATACAAAGGTGATTAACCAATGACTTATATTCGTAAGGTTGTCGAATTTAATCTCTGCTGGGAAACGGAACATGCTGATTAAAGTTCCTTGATTATTTTTTTTGTTAGTTTCTCCGGCTGGTTTTATAGATCAGGAGGGACAAAACACAACCAGTAGATAGGAAGTAGGCTAGAAGGTTTTCAGTTATTTTTAATAGTGCTTTCTCTCGGAGCCATCGGACCCAGCGAAGAAGGAAGAATACCCGATTTCGTTCAGGCGGCAGAGATAAAATTCAGAGTAAATTAGTATGAACCGCAGTATGTACGAGAGAGGCGTGTATTCCAAAAGTAAGTTCTATTTCACCGTAAAATGTATTACTGTAAAGACAGCCCACAAACTTTATACACTATTTTTTTACACAGTCTCCTTCCTTCTCATTCATCACCTGAGTACCCAACATTTAATGCATTCTGCTGCCTCGTCTTCAACGGTAAGATTTCCAACTAGTAAATTCCTGTCCCTGGTGAAGTTCGTCATTGATAACTTGCCCTTTTAAACGAGTACATAATCTTTCGAAACAGACAGAAGTTGGGCGGACCTCAGGCCTAAGGTGTGGAAGTACAGCTCCGTCTTCACCAATAATATTCAATTTCGTTACGACATCCGTTTTCTATGCTATGAGCTTAGTTATATTCTACATCCACATCGGTAAACTTACGTGTATAATTTATATAAGAGTGGTTAAACTGGCGGACCGTGGGCCACATACGGTACGAGACAATTTGTGTTAACCAAGACTGTGAAATTATTCGTTAATTTGTTGCTAGTTGTTATGAGCTCGTTTATTTGATCTACTTCGAAAGGTTTATTAATAAGTGTTATGAGCTCGTTTATTTGATCTACTCCAAAAGGTTTATTAATAATCAAAGGTTTCGCATATTTGAATTGATACCTTGAATCTCATTAGTGCAGAAATAGCCAACGTGATGTATGATCTAGCTGTAACAAATGCCATTAAACATATCTTCTCACGAGAAGATAATAATCTCTCAGCTACTCAGTAAATTCTCAGTATTTTATGGAAACGAAAGGTGTATTATCGTGATCACAAAAGCTGGTCCCAGTACCTATCCCAAAGGGAGGTTAGGTAAAGTTAGGTTAGGTTAGGTTAGGTTAGGTTAGTTTAGAATATATTCACCTCCTCTCCTCTTCCTTAGGGACCTCGCATTTGATTAAAAGATTTATGCCCGCCGACAGTGAAAATATATAATATGACAACAGAATAGATTCCCGTCGACTTCTTAAACACGTATGCACCCATTACGTCGTAACTTGCGCTGAATGCTTCTCTCTTAAATTCCTTTCGTACTACGTGTCATTAATTTCGAAGTAAAATTAACACACTGACATTACGTATTGTACTGGAACTTTGGCGAATCAATAACAAACTTGATCGAAATCTTTTCAGCGTGTTCAAAGATACTACGGGTGTACTGATGGACGGACTGACGCATGACCTCCCATTTATAAGTCCATTTTTAATAACTTCTTCCAAGAAACACAGAAATATGCTTGTCCCCACACCCAAATAAGTTTTCCAAAACTATTAAATTAGCTGAAGTGCAGCGCTGAATGTCGGCAATTGACTTTCAGCCTTCCTGGAGCAAGGGTTGTGGCCGCATGTGGCGGAATAGACGCATGTGTAATCAGGGGGGATGGGGGTGGATACGAAATTCTGCAGGTTGAATTACAAACACACACACATACATTCCACAATTCCGCGCTCGGAGAGTCACACAATACCCCCAGTTGTCAACAGTAATGTGTTTCCTGTTGAAACCAATAGGGGGTACCACGTCCGGCTCCGCCAGGGGTTTCCAGTATCAAGATGACACCATTCTTAAACGCAAAGAGTAACAACCCGGCCTTTTAAGGAAATAATCGGTATTTACCCCGAGAATCATACGAAAATCATAAATACGAAATCAAAAGTTGCTGATTATTAAAGCAGCTGGTAAACCAGCGGACTTGAAAGGGTAAATACACACCCGTAAAATTAAACTTCGTTAATATATTTTACTTGATTGAACGTTATAACCTAAGTTGTTACAGTGGTGAAAATCTTTTTTGTGTTCATTTCTTTGCTGACTTCCAGTCCCCAAATACTTCGTGTAAAGAGTACCAGCAGTTTCAATTTCCTTAACTGAAGTTAAGTGATCGGCCATATTATTTATGAAACACGACACTGAAAACCACACAAAACATGAAATAATGTTCATGGTCTATGAGGAGCTCACCGTTTCGGGTGAGTTGATCATTTTTTCTGCAGTTTCTCAAGAACCATTACACGCAGGTACAAAGTTACAAAGCAGGAAACCGTGTCAGGGTAACGCGAAAATTACATGGTAACTGACAGTGATAATTCCTGCTTGTTCTAACTAAAATGTGAGTTCTTGCTGTTATGAGTATCTATACGATCTATGCGCGAAGTTAATGCGGACAGCAGACAAAGAATCCGTGAGCACTGTAGCGTTCAAAACTACTGAACGTGTTTCGGTAAAATTTGGTATTTTCGGTCTGAAATAAGTGTAGTCGAAGGAGCCTAATTCTTTGCCGTATCACCATAATGATAACCATTTTTTCACAAGAATAAAATATAATTGTTTCTATGGGGCACCAAGTTTTATTAGGATAATCAAGGGAATGAGTTTGACAGAAATAAAAAAAGAAATCACACAAAGTATTGGTCAGATACTGTGGAGGAATAACGTTAACCATTGCATTTAATGTGGAGGAGATGTCACTGCTGTATTCAAGAATGACAAAACCTTCAGATTTACTATAGTATAGTATAGTACTATAGTATAGTTAAGGTAGCTCAGTTTTAATTAAGATAGTTTTATAAGCAAATAACCATGTGTTAATTTAAAAGTTAAATTAACGCCGAATCATTGCTCTGCTTGCCTCTGTCTTTATTTATGTAGCCTACCTTCATCAATATAAAATGTTCACCCAACCTGATGGTTTTTAATGTATTTTACGCTACAAAAAATGACGACAAATACCATAATTTTAATTAAAATGATCTGGAATAAATTCCTGTCTCCGCTCACTGTGAAAAAATTACTAATTTTCCTTAGTTTTTGGTTTGGTTCAGAGTCAGTGTGTCGGTATTGGACTATATATTGTGTTTGTTGTTCGCATCGGATTCAGCAATTTCAATCCGTTTCATTGAGAATTTATTTGTAATCCAGAAAATATGTTCCTTCTACAAAACGAATAATTGTTTCTTTGCAATTTTTCAGAAATTTCTATTTGTAGAGTTTTAATTAGAATCGTGGTATTTTATCACATTACCAGTGTAATAATTTATCCCGCTGACTTTTATCCGTAACCAAGGGCGTACTTGATGTCATTAAACTACCAACAATGCAGCATATAAAACACCTAATTACTACGAAATTCCCTCTTCAGGTTTCTTGCAAATCAAATAAATCTGAACAGTAAACTGAGTAAAATCTTAAATGACCGAAAGTTAACATTAAGTTTTCTGATTTCAGATCAATGACATTGGGGCATAAAAAAAGGTAAGAATACGTTAAATTGTGAAGTATTAAGTCTGAGGTTCACTTATCTGAAAACATTAACAATATATGGACGTTGTGCAGCCCTGGTATAACAGGAAACGGATTTGTAACAATAAAAATGTTTGCTTCGGCGAAGTCAACCCTGTAGTGGAGAGACGATTCAAATTCGCCCGTGTATTATTCCACCAGTAATAAAAAACTGCATTTAAATTATGATGAAAAGAAACCCCACTTTTTTAAAGTGACACTGCAGCGGAGGATAGGGGGGGGGGATGTCGCTTCGTTTCGCCGGACGTAATCAAAGCCTACCCTCAGCTTTTGTCGCGTGTCCACCTGGAGGCCATAACTAACAGGGACAACCAAAACCCCACACAGTTCTGTATCGTTATGAGGGAAACAGCATTTTCCCACGCCCCCCTGCATTCAGTGAACAAACAACGCAATGCAATGCGGTCATGTCTGTTCGTCACTACGTGCCCTTATTTAATCCTATAAACCACTTAATATTTTGCGCAATTAACGTCTATTTGAAGTCCCGATACAAGCCGGAAAGATGTGAATATTGGTCTTCAAAGTTGTAACGCCATATGGATTAGAAAGTGGATACAAATGTTTCGTAGAAAAATACCGCCTCCTTCTTCAGTACGTTTCCTTCAAAATACTCTGGTATCAACACGGCGTTGCGCCGTAGTAAACTACCATCGATACTTTCACTGAATTTCGTCGAATATTTTCGTAGATTAAAAGTGCGGACGGACATATTTCACATCGCGCATAATAGGTTATAAAATATTTGTCTATGAATAACAACTAAGAGTGCCGAAACACGCGGTAGATCATAAGCCTGGGCCTCTCTACAGTGTATTTGTAACTTAGTTACACGGGATCGGTTACGGTCTGTAGCCAAGTTGCCGTCCTACAGATTTGTTTCCGCAGTTCTCCTTATGAAATTACATATTTAAATTAATTAAATTCACTCTAGAGGGAGACCGAAGATGAGGGTGAAACTCTGGTTCCAAGTGCGTGGTGGTGCGTGGCGAAACGTGATCAAACTGAGGAGTCTGATGTCCTATACTGGCAAATCAGATTCGAAATTTCTACTAAAGTTACCAGTTATTCAACTGAGCTTCATTTTCATTAGCTCTTCTTCACCTTCTAAGTATTAGGCCTCAGAGCCTGTTCAAATTCAGAAATACGCCTACTTCTAAAATTATTAAACCGTTCAGACATTTTATAAGACTCCCTCGGTAGGGGATCAGACCGTTTCAATGCCTCTAAATACTCAGAGCAGTATTAACAGACAAAGGCTGACATACATCAGTGCCTCTAGTGGGCTATTCTTAGTTTATTTAACGATGTTTTCTCAAACTGTAAAAGTTATACAACAAAGATTAAAAGAGGGTTTAGAATGATGAATACGGAAGGATGTGGAAGGAAGTGGCCATGGCGTATTTTAATGTGCTATTCTGGCTTGGAGGAACTCAGGTATATCACGCATAAAAGGTCCACAGTTCGAATCTCAGAGCCGATCATCCTAAATAATGTCCTCCAATTTCTACACCACAGCCCTAACCCAGTGAAGTATATAGATTAATATTTTCCAAATGTATTCGTTGATATTTTTCATAGACCTACTTCACGGACAATGAACTTCAAATATATTGTTGGACACATGCTTTCACTAGCCCTATACGTAGGTTGGCATAGAAACAGATCCCCCCCCCTTACATTTACAGTATCAATAAATAGCTCAATTAACGTGTACAAAAGTTTGCACGATGAGCATTTTAGAATCAGATACGCGCTTTAGTTAAATTGCTGGTTTTATTGGGCCGATATGAAACTAAATTCTCTCAACAGATTCTAAATGTAAAAACCTTGATGCAAAATGTAGCACAACCCGTTCAGCAGCTTCGAGATCGAAAATGCTGACGGACGGAGAGACAGACAAACGGGAATTGCCTCGAATGCAGACACGTGCTTTCGTTTTCTGCACTTCGTCATAGGAACTGCAGCAACTTCCTGGCTAATGTCCAGCCCAATCTTCCTCTTCCACCTGGCCTCTGTGTCCTGCCAATACGCGTGTTCTGATTCTCAAAACGTTAAATTGCTTCTTGATAAATAATCACCCGATTGGCTTCTCCATTGATCCGTCTCAAATTGTTAAATTAACTTATCCCAATTAGTGTTTTGTTTGTTTTTCTCGTCTCGTCTCTTTTTTGTCCTGGAAATAACAAGTGTGGAGAGGCGTTCCTTTAACTTGCTCTTGTCTGGGGGTGGAAACTTCTCCACCCCAAACCAAGTTTACAACCTCGAGGCAACTTGCAGTCACTTGCTGCTGATACGTCTCGGCACACTCTGCTCTACTCCAGGTCGCCGCGGTTACTTCATCACCGCGCCGATATTAACCATTTAAAGGCCAGTGGTAACTGCAAGGCCCACCTTCTTCAGCAATCAATAACTCTTCATTTTGTGTTTGTGGGTTTCGTGTGATTAACACTGTAAACAGCAATTACTTTCCTCAAACAGCTTTAACCAAGTCGTCTTCGTAATGGCAATGTGTTTTGTTTTCTTTGCGGTACGGAATGAAGTCGAAAATTATAATTAGCCGACCTTCGGCTTCAGAGAGCTACAACCAGTGATTATGTTTTGTAATGAACGTGACAGCGATGCCCAACCAGCCAGTAATCCTCTCTCTTCTTTTTTCTTTCGAAATTTTCTTTCTTACATCTTCCTTTTTCCCTCATCTCTTCATTTACATCTTCGTTATATTTTTCTCACTGCCTACCTTTACCCCTAATTTTTTTGTTTTTTAAAAGTTGGCACTTGCTCAGAGGCAGATGAATATAATTCACACCTTCCTTATTTTTTTAAGGTCCATTTTAATATTGTTCTCCCATCTGTGCGTAGGTATATTCCATTCTGGCTTTTTAACCAAAATTTTGTACATATTTTTCACGTGCTCATGCGTGTTACATGCCCCACCCATACAATCCCCGTTGATTTTTTTATCATCAACTACCGAAAGATTACATATTTCCAATATACCTAAGACAATTAACAATTCGTAACGTAATCTTGTAATTTCCTGAATAAAAATTGACACAGAGACTTTCGGAGAATCAAAGGCCTGACCACTTGTGCAGTGCTTTAAGCTTACCGACGGGACAAGTATATTGTGTGAGGCGAACCGACTGCAGACAGCTCCATGAGGAGGGTCTTTCTTTGCTTAGCAGTTGTCAAGATACCAATTCCAGACACGCCTGCCTACCACCGTCAAGCCAGCCTGAGGTGGGATGTGATTCGAAAGGTGAACAATTGCAGATTGGGGGAAATCCACGTCCAAAGGGAACGAAATTGAAGAAGCCACAACAGTGGAAAAATCACTCAACTCCACTAGACAAGACTGAGTAGGTTGGTGTAATGGTGACGCGGTTTGAATGTCGGTCAGGTTAGCATGAAGCCGAGTCGTGGGGTATAAACCTTAGGCCTGCATCTGGAGCGAAGGACGTAACCGTAGTCTACCAAATTCTCCTTAGCCTGGTATGGAGCAGATTACATAACATATAATCTGTTAATGCTATTTTCCTAATGTTTAAAGTAAATGTGAATTAACTTATAGGGTTTAGAACGTACTTATTCACTAATAAATCTGTATGTGTACATTTCTTTGCTGTTAAGATTTTACGTTACCATAGAAATGGCTGCCACAACACCTGAAGATCTTGTATGAAAATCTTGCACTCACCTGCAAGAAAGAGAGAAAAAATTAATTTATTACATAATATATTCATTTACAAAACAGTTAATGTAAGAAATGTCCATGTATATTTATTTCAAATTATACGATAACAGGTGTTTAAATACTGTAGTTATGCATGAATAAGAGGCAATAAAAAAGTGACAGACGTAGCCAAATTTACACAGCTAAAGAGAAAAATACGTAGATCGATAATGTGGCTGACTATAGATAAGCAATGAAAGAGGAAGGTAGACTGAATGAAGACACGTGGCCACACACAGCATAGAATTATGAATACATAAGTCAAAGTGTACGAATAAGAATAAGCAGACGATGGAAAGTGGAATTTGAGGTCGGTACAGGCATATGTTGCCAAATAAGCAACAGAACAGCACTTTATTTTGTTGTGATGGGGTGAGACTACGTTTCTATGAAAATGCAGGCGACAACGGGCCCACTGCTCATCCGCAGATGATATTTGAATGAATATGGAACAGCTGTGGAATAATATTGACAGGAGAATATGATATCCTTCCTCCAGTTCGTCTACAACAAATCTGAAATCCCACTGGACTTCCCCGGGTGCATACCCGGACTTTCGTGGTTAGAAGCTGGTGACCAACGACCTGACATATGGCACCACCCCCCACACACACACAAACAAAAATCATAATCTACGCAACTTTATCGCTGGCAAAAGCTACTTCCTCGCAAAAAGATGCGGCTTCTAGGAAAAACGCACTTACAGGATAAATACGTGTATAATAGTCGCACTGTTTACAGTGTCAGTAAAAACAACGAAGCAAGTAATCCTATTACTTCAAAATCGGGATAGTTCTGTCAGTGGCTGGAAGACCGTGGTTCTCTTCTGGGCAATTGATTCATCTCGCTGCGTGCATCCATTTAATGTGCATCAGGGATGAAGTGGTTGGACCTAGAGGCTGATTACTCACCTACATCTACAGCTCAGTCGCTTTAATACATGAGGCTTGGACACAGGGGGCCTGTAACTAACACCCTTTTTCAGTCCACTCAAGACTGGCGTGAGTTGCAGCGTGTTTTTCTTCTTCTCGTCTGTCCTGAAACCTAAGCCAGCGGCTTGTTTTCACAGAGTATTACCAAGGACCGTATCGTGTTCCGGCCTCTAAGAGGCTTTGCACTAACTTACAGCTTTACAGTGAACGAAATCAATTTCTTAATGCTTGTAGCTTGCCGCGTGAACAGCAGACTTGCACAGATAAAGCCAATAAATAGCCACGGTTTTGTAGCAACTCATCAGATCAACAGTGAAATCCAACGTAAATTAATTTTCTCAAAATATGACACAAAATTTGCAAAATGGCTAAAGTTCACTTAACAACATTTTACATTTCCGTGTTCTGTTTGAAATCCGTCCACTTAAATTAGGAGCTAGATGCACGGAGCAACACATCAAAGTTCTTCTTGGGAAGCTGATAGTCACTCACATGTTTAAGAAACTCCGCGTCGTTTGTGACATCTGCAGATCCATTACCGTGTTCACAAAAGCTCGCTACTGGTCCCTATATCTTGAGGCACATGAGTGTATTCCACATCGTACGCCCTGTTTCTATAATATATTTTTATATTCTCCTCTAATCTACGCCTGTTTCTCCCAAATTGTAGCGTCCATCAAAGCATAATTTCACTAAGATGAATCGTTCTTGAAAATCCGAGAGTTTGTAAAATCTGTTAATTCATTGACTGAGTAATTGTAGACTTTTAAATAAAGACGCAGTAGGCTTTAATCGATAGATTTACCACAGAGTGCGTAAACACCATGTAACCACTATGAACAAAGGGAACGTTTGGGCACCTACAAGTTAATTATGTAATCATTTACTTATCAGTGGTTTATCTAACAACAGTGCCAGTAGCTCACACTGTATAACGCCAAATGATATAATGATTAATAAATAATAAATGGAAAAGGATGTGGAAGGAAGCTCTCAAATTGCCATTTAACTGGCAAGTCTACCAGTAAATGACATTCTTAATTAAATACAGAGGTGGTGTGTACAAACACAGCGCAATTATTAACAACGGACGAGCGATTAGCGCAGTCCCAAGCTAGGCGTGGGACTCGGTATATTTGAGGGGTGGTGTATCAAGTTTGTGAAATTAATTTATGAATTCAACACTGGAATATATTAGGATTGATAGGTTAATTAAGAAATTAGAATTCTACAAGATCCAACGCAACCAGCGTAACATCTACAAGTATTTAACCAACAAACTTACGAAATAATCTTTTCCGAGTTTATAATTAACTCTTCAAAATTATGCACTTCCATTCGTTTTCTCTCAAGTGTGACAATTTCCTCCTGTGTTATTCCCGTTCTGTAGCGCAAATCTGACAAGAGGAAATGTCTTGGTTCATTACATCCGTCCGGTCCGCCTTAAGAATTTTGTGAATGAACTGATGAGTATTCGTGAAACTTGGTTTCTTTAAAAAAAAAAAGATTTAACCACATTTTATATAAAGTGCTAATCTAAATGTTTGCATGCTGAGGATCTATATGCGCTTGGGGTGAACCCGTGGCCATCCTTTGAGCCAAACGTCGGTTTCAACGCCGCAGCCACACGCCTAATCCAAAACTCAGTATTTTAGGTGCATACAATCCGACGAGGCAAGTTTCATATTGACTTATGTACTTAAGAATCAGGCTCTGCGATTCGCTCTTAACTTCTTCTTCGTGGTTTAATTAAGGAGCTAACGCTGGTGTATACATTCAGCAACAAAAACATTCGTCTCCAGTTGTGCATTGTATTATGCATATAAAAACGATGACTTCCAGAAATTACCCTAGAGAACTTTGTGTCTCATGGTTTCTTTTTCCTGTCTATTGTGCGTGTGAAATAAAGTGTACTGATAACACTAACAAAAAAATTAAGTTCGCCGTACACTCAACTATATAGGCTTAATAAACTTTATGAACACTACTGAGTAAAACTTCGGAATTGAACATCTGTACCGACAATTGTGGCTGAGTGGTTAAAACCCCTGTTTTGTATTCAGGAGTTTCAGGGTTCGAATATAGGATAGAAGCACACCATGGCACAACACACACAGACGCGGAGTGCCTTGAGTGGGATTCGAACCCACGGTCCCAGTGTCCATACGCACGAGGCCTACGCCCCAGACGGTAAGGACACTGTGACCGGCTGGAAGCATACCCTCACCCCGTAACATTTTTACGATAATACCTTCATCATTTACAGATAATAGTTTACGTAAACAGTACTTAAGAATTAAGTCTCTATTCCAAGTATAGAAAACTAAAACACACTCTCTACTGGCAAGTTAAGAGCAACTAATTGTTAAAATATGTGGTAAACGTAGTTACCACTGTGTTTTATAAGGTGTACATGCCTTTCTTCGAGATCCTTCTCAATTCATTAATCTGATCCATTGTCATTCGAAGGTACAAAACCTATACAGTTGAAGAAGCGTTATTACATAAACTAAGAATAGACTTGCTATTCATTACCATGCACTGTGCAAACCCATTCTAAGGTCCATTCATTGGATGGAAACTTAATGGATACAGTGAGCTCCTACCTCGGGGATAATGAAGGCCGAAGTGTCAACTCCCATTTATTTCTATCTAATGCCGAGGTTCAGAATGCTTGAAACATTTCAACCCAAGTCCCTCGTATGTCTTCACGTCGTGGTGCTAGCTGCGGGGACAAATTAAATGTTTCAGCAACAACAGAATATATTTCCGTTCTCCTGTATCTTTATAACATTGCCACTTTGCTTAATTTAGCCACAGCGCTGATAAAAAAAGTAAAGTCTGTCCCTCTATACGCCATGTAGGCGTTTGGGGGGAGTGGAGGTATAGCTCCTCTCTTCCTTGACCTCGGCACTAGATGGGGGTGAGTGGTCAGCATCACGCCCCAGCCGGCTTTACCCCCGGGAAAGAACCCCGGTACCCATTGTAGAGGAGGCTGGGTGGGCCCCAGAGCCGGTCTGGACGCAGAGGCTAGAGGAAAAATCCTCTGCCCCCGTCGGGGATCGAACCCCGGTCGTCCAGCCCGTAGCTAGTCACTATACTGACTGAGCTATCCCGGCTCATACAGCGCTGATACGCTGTGCTAATTTTTCTCAGAATTCATACAATGTATTTATGTACTAGATGTTGTGGCGCATCCATCATCAGATCGTCCTGGTGACTGAGGCAGCAAGAATCTCCGAATAGTTGGTAAACTAAACTTCTACCAGACTACACTGTGCTATACCCCAGAAGACAACCACCTGAAGGTCGTGAAACAAATATCCTACGTACAAATATGACAGTGTAGGTGGAGCATAACACTGGACGATTTTAGGATGGTAATGTCCTTGAAGATCCATAGATTCTTAACTGATTCTTATGTTATTTCACCTTCATAACGTAAAGACCAATTACATCGATAAAAACTGGTAAAAATTTATGAACTTCCATCTTCAATCAGATCGATCGTCCTTTTCAGAACTGTCGGCCATTCAATATAGCAACACGTATCTTCCTTATGGCGGTATAAGCGAGATATTTCGTCAGTGGCACCATGAAATACAGCGAGGATATTTTGCGACTGTGCCGCTAGGGCACAGAATTTAGCAATCGTTGCAGCGACAGCGCATTTCGGAAAGGTCGAGCCGTATCGTCACCAAAGCCGCCATATACCTCCACTGTCAAACTGTTGTAGAAAAGTAAAATAAGTATAACAAAATT